AAAAAAAAAAAAAAAAAAATCTGGGGCCGGGGATTTAGCTCAGTGATTCCACCGCCTGCCTCACAAGCTCAAGGACACAAGTTCAATCCCAGGTAGCAAAAATAAATAAATAAAAAGTGAACCTATCTATGTAGCACATGGAGCACAAACCAGATCCTCCCCAAAAATGTAGATTACGGGTATGGTGGAACACACCTGTAATCCCAGCACTCAGGAGGCTGAGGCAGGACGATTGCCATAAGTCTGAGGCCAGCCTGGGTTACATAGTGAGTTCAAGGCTGGACTGAACTACATAATAAGACTCTGCCTCAAAAAAATAAAAGGAAGTGTCTGTGTTCCTCCCAGGGGGATGGCCAGAATGGGCCACTTTTCAGGAATCCAGCTGAGCAGCGGGGGAGGCACCATATGGTAGGGGCTGGTGAGCACGTTCTGGGGCCATCTGAGAAGGAAGCACAGGTCACCTTGGAAAGCCTCCGGCACCAGGAAGCCTTTCCACAGCTGCAGGGCCTCGGGGAGTCGCTTAAGCTCCCTGAACTTCACCTTGTCCTCTGTAGAGTGGGAACCACCCTGTGAGTGGTCCTAGACAGTGGCCCTAAAGGACAAGGCATGCGAGGCTCTGAGGACAGGGCTGCCCATGTCCACTGGCTGAGTGGGAGTCCCTGGTTCCTGGGTCTGCGGGGACACTGGGACACCCCACTCCGCCCCTCCAGCTCTGTCCAGCAGGGATCTTCAGTGTGGCTCGAATGTGTCCCCCAAAAGATCACCTGTTGGGAATTGGAGCCCCAAATGCCAATGTTAACAGTACCAGGAGCCAGAGCCGGGAGACACTAAGGAATAGAGGGGTCAGGAGGGTGTGGCTGAGAGGCCCGAGCCTGCCCACAGGCCACCTAGCCTTGCGATGTCCCTGCCAAGTCCCCTTACAGTGCCGAGGCTCACCATGCTCCGGGACTTTCCATCCCCCAGAACTACAAGCCAAATAAATCACCCTGGCGTCCCTGTTCTGTTGTAGAAGAGGCGGATTAAGACGTCCTGCAGAGCTGGGCCTAAGAGCCCAGAAACCTGCCTTTACCCAGGCGCCAGGTCTGTGGCCTTCAACACCCTTGCTGCTGGCTGCCCCTGGTCACCTCCTCAGCCAGTGTCCCTAGGGCCTTTTGAGCCCTTGCATCACCTCATTTCACCCAGAATCAAGGCTGGCCTTGAGAAGGGAAGGGAGGAATTGGGAGTAGGGAGAATGGGTTGGGCCATAGCCACCCACCTCTGTCTCCTTCTCCAGTCCCATCCCACAGTCCTCTCATCAGCCATTCAGGTCTTTGTGAAATGCAAACAACAAGGGAGGCTGAGGCAGGAGAATCTCTGCAAGTTCAAGGCCAGCCTGAGTCACATAGTTCTGTCTCAAAAAAACAGAACAAAAAATGCGAAGCGTGATGGGCTGCTCTGCTACTGTGAACTCTCCAGTGCCTTTTCCTTGCATGCAGAACAGAATCCAAGCTCCCCTCTTGGTTGGTGAGGTGCGCACCCTCTTGTTCCTTTCACATCATCTCAGCTCACAGGCTCTCTGGCCACACTGACCTCTTGGTCCCTTGAATTCACCAAGTGCATGTCTGTCCTTGCTGCTCCCTCCCCCTGGAGCTCCTCCTCCACTATTGGCTGGATCAAGCCTCTTGATCTGTGTGGAGCTCACTCACGCCTGCATAGGTGGGAGGAAGGAAGGGAGGGAGGGATAAATTCATGGATGGATGGATGGATGGATGGACAGGTAGACAGATGGATACATGAATGGATGGACGGATGGATGGATGGATGGATGGATGGATGGGTGGATGGGTGGATGGGTGGATGGGTGGATGGGTGGATGGATGGATGGATGGATGGACGAATGGATGGATACATGAATGGATGGATGGATACAAGGATGGATGGATGGATGGACGGATGGATGGATGGATGGATGGATGGACA